AAATTTTTTTTTTGTTTTAGAGGGACTCAGGGATATGATGACACGTACGCTCAAAGAGAAATACACCGATTAGCAGAAGAAAAGAAGGAAGAGAAGAAACTCAAAAAGAAATTAAAACAACAAGGTAGACTCTTTCTACTAAGCTTGCAGGATAATACTAAATTTGTTTTTCTAGGAAAGAAAGCTCCATCACCCACATTTGATCCAGATGAAGAAGCTAACATGGATCGTGCTGCGCAAGAGCTGGCGATGAAAATGGCTAGTATGAGAACGGATCTTGGGGTTTGTGACACTTTTTCACTTTTGTTTATTTTATATAAATTGGAGGCTTTCAGGACTGGAAACCTCCTACCGCTGCCCAGGAAGCGGTTAAACGTAATGATTCTCTTTCTGGGATTCCTCCGCGGAAACGGTAAGTCCTATGGTTAAAAAAATTACCTTTAAAATCCCACATAATTCGCTATCATTATTTCCTACTATTTTAAATACCTTACATCCTTCTCTCCTTGTGTAAACTTTTCAAAGCTTTGTGAACTGTTTTTTGTATGCATTTACTCGGAAAAATCTGCCAATTTTCCCAGGAGCTCCCTCAAAGATGTCCAGCAAGACTCTGGTGGCTCACTGGAGCTGCCAGCCCATTTAGCAAACCAGCCCACAGATAACGATAATGTCAAGCCCGTTGGGGATCTGTGAGTGAATAGTTGCGATTAAGAAGTTTTTCTTAAAAAATTGGTTGTTTACACATTCCATGTTATTTTTATTTCATTTCATTTCAAAAAATGATTTTGGGGATTGTAGTTCGTCTTGCAGAGCACCCGACGATCCAAAGCTGACAGCTCCTGCTTGGGCCGATTTTGAAACGGCTGCTCCGGAGCTTCCACCTAGTGAGAGCGGATTCTTTAGCAACAAGGTGATTCGGTCATTGGACGTCATATTGTCACTCACTTATAAGCATGATTATACCGCATTTTTCTGCTACAATTTTTTCATTTTATTGCGTTATTCACTTTTCTACTCGAACTTCTCATTTATGTTTTGTTATGGGAAGGATGGCTGAAGAAATGCAAAATTTATGTGCATGGCTACTGAATGTTAACGTTTATCCAAAACAAATCCCAAGTTGGTCAAAAGTTCACGAATGCGGGCATGACAGCTTTGAATAAGAGGAAATATCAAGTAAATCTAGTATAGAAATTGTCGAGATTTTTCGAAATAGAGTTCACATGAGAGCTCGGAACTCAAGAGTGGTCAAATCACTTACTGTTTCTCTTACCAAAACATTTATTGCAGGAAAGCAACAGTTTGGACCCTTCTTCTGAAGCATATGACCCCTTCATTGTGCCAACGGATTTCAAACCACCAAGAGATCCCTTTGCTCCTCCGGATAAGAACTTGATCGAAGAGGTATGACGCTTCGAATTGTGCGTCTAAATTTACATAGTCGTTTCTCCCACCATCATCTTTGAGCTAAGAAAGTTACATTTTAGGACTATGATCCATTCGCAGTCCGGCCTGTGGAAGATATCGTTGCTGCCGCCAGAGCTAAGGCTGAAGAAGTTCGGATGGCCAAGGAAGTACAGGATGATGTGGACTTCTTCTCAGGATCACGGTAATTTCTTTTCTATAAATTAGTAGAATAAATTTATCACAAAATTCATTTCAAGGCATAGTCCAGCGCTTTCAACACCAACGCCAGAGGGTGGCAGTCCAGTAGCAAGTCCAACTCCTCGCCCTGAAGGATTCGAGGATGATTTCAAATGCGAGGTAAAAAATACATTTTTTAGTTACCCTGCAAAATTTCGTAAATTCTGATTTTGTTTAGTCACAAGAATAAGAATATGCTCCTTTTTTGTACAGCAGTTATTCATGTTGAAATTTTCATCTCAGGGCATGGATATGGAAACACCGACTCCGCTCTACGATGAAGATGATTCTGAGCCTCTCACTGAGTTTTTACCCAAATTTACCGGTGATGGTTGGGATCTTATGGTTAGGTGAGTAAAACTCTGGGCTTATCTTAAAGGCTTAATAACCTTGGATTAACGATTAACTATAGCAAATTTAGGTATAGCATTATGTTCTTAACAGAAAATCTTCAGGCATCCACTTAAGAAGAAATCTTTCATGGCAGAACGATTTTGGAAACCATGTTATGTGC